GACCTCCCACCTCCTATACTCAGTGCACTCACAAATAAAGGCAAGCATACCAAATGTCTTCTTCATTAACCTTCCTACCTGCAACTCTACTTTCAAGCATCTATGAACCTGCATTCCAAGATCTTGTTGTTTGGCAACACTCCCCATGACCCAATCACTGACTGTACAAGTCCTGCTGTGATTTGCCTAACCAAAATGCAACACCTCTTATTTATCTAAATTAAACTTCATCTGCCACTTCTCGGCCCATCTGATCGAGGTCCCATTGTACTTTCTCCTACCTTCTAGCCAATTTTTCTGCTCATATTTTATGAAAAAATCATACTGAGGCAGTGGAGAGGGAGCAGAAAAGATTTGTAATGATGATCCCAGAAATGTGTGGGATACAGATCAGGAAAAGGTTGACAGGCTGGATCACATTTCCCTGGCCAAGGGAGTGACCTAATAGAATTCTTTAACCTTATGACAGGTTTGATAGAGGGATACAGAGAGAAAGTTCCCTCCTGTAGGGAAGAGACCATCAATACAAGGTGCTCACCGAGAAAACTGGTAGGGAATTCAGAAAAAACTGTTTCACTGCAACAGTATGGGAAAGTGGAACTCACTGCCACAAGGAGTGGTTGAAATGAATAGTGCTGATCCATTTATAATGAGGCTAAGCAAATATACGAGGGAGAGGGGAGTATAAGAATACAAGGGTATTCTCCACCCCAGCTGGAAATTTATCCTCGGTGTAGCCACACTGTGGTAAGGGATTTGCCAAATTGTCTGGCTCCCAGAAACAGCAACACATTCAGAGTGAAGAGATACCTTAGGCATTGCAACAGAAAACAGTATTGTCGGAGAAGCTCAGCAGTTCTGGCAGCATTTGTGGAAAACAGAGATGACGTTTCAGGTTCAGTGACCCTTTGTCAGAACCGTAAGATTTGCTGTGTAAACGGAAAGAGATTCAAACAGTCATCCAGTCTCTAGTTACTGTCTGTAAGAATGATGTCGTCTCTGAGTTAATAAAGTAAGTCAGAGTTGTGATAAAGATTTCTAATATATTGGTGTAATTTGGGAATTTGCATTTGAAAGTAAAAGGAAATAGGTTTTGTTACAGTTGCAAAAGGGACTTATTTGTTTAAAGGTTGGAAAATCATTTTTTTAACAGTAAGTTCAAAATTATTTCCAAGAAAACATGAGGCCTATTTTAAATGACCAGCAAGCTACTTTGGTGCAATGTTTACTAAGTTTGCTTTTAATGACCTACAGGGAAACATATGATCAGGAGCCTCTTTCAAGTTGAGGTCAGAAGAAACAGCTAATCCAGCAAAAAGGAGGTTTGGTTTCTGGAAGCCTTCATGCTGGAAAGAAGCTTTTTTTTCTGTTGAAGAAGAAAAGCTGGAAAGACAGAGTTTCCCTTAAGATTCAATCAGGAAAGTCTGTAGGTTCACTTGTATTTTTGAGTTTTTGGAAGAGACTGAGAGAATTACATCTGGAGAGTGTACAGCAAATCTGAAAGGAACTGTCTGAAACTTCATCATTTAAGCAAGAAGTTAGAGAATTGTGATTGGAGTCACTTCACTGGAGTTGAGTATCTGTAAAGGATACTGTGGAAAAATTGTTGAATACTTTCTTTGCACTGTTTTAAGCTTCTTGCAGCTTTAAATAAAAATTAAATACAATTTGATGTTAGGTATTGGAAGTATTTTGGCTTATCCATGTGATTTATTTTTCAGTGACTGACCACATGGTAACTAAATTGCAACATTAAAACTTATGGTCTATCAAGCCAAATTTCACTCCAGGATCTGATTTGACAAATCTTAACATCAGCTGAAATTGTAGTGATGCTCTTCCTTTCTCTGCATGTGTGCAGGTAGAATTTGTGATGCTTTGAACCAACTTGTACTAGTTAGAATAGTGAGATAATGGGAGTTCGGAAAATCTGTTAATCACAGCGTGTACTCTCATGTAGTGGCACATGAAGTCACCTGTCATTGGACAAGAGCTGCATGATTGCACAATAAAATGTCATGGACTTTTGAAAATAATATCAAGAAATTAGTAAGAAAAGAGAACAACGAATATGACAGGAACTAACAAAAAACATTGAAAAAAGATTGTAAACATTTTTATAGGTTTGTAAATAGTATGACTGAGCTTCGAGCCCTTGGGTAGAGAATTCCACAGATTCACCACCCTCTCATTGAAGAAATTCCTGCACATCTCAGGTTTCTGAACTCCATGAAATAGGCCCATTTTACTCAATGTCTCAAGATCCTTATTAATAGACTCTAAACCTGGGCTCATGAGAGGCAGAGACAGATGTAACTATTATGCAGAAAAAAGGAAATGACAGAGACATTTAAAAAAAAACTATTCTAGCTGTCTTCACAGTGGGACATATAAAATGCATTCTGGAAATACTGGTGTAATGAATATCCAGTGAGAAGGAGGAACTTAAAAAAACAGTACTTGAAAAATTAATGGGATTAAGTGGTGACAAATCCCCTGGACTTGCCTACCTTCATCCTGGTGATACAAAATTTGGTGGGATAACGAGTGGAGATGAGGACTCCAAAAAGCTATAGAAGGAGGTAGACAGGTCGGGTGAATGAGTAAATACAAGGTAAATGGAATACAATGAGGTGAAGTACTAAGTTATTCACTTTGGTTATATAGATCAACAGCAGAATGTTCTGCATTGACTGGGACCTGGGTATCCTTGTACACAAATAATGGAAGATTAAGATGCAGCTTCCATCCCATTAATGCTCTGGCCTAACACAGGTTCTTGGCTCATTGTCTGCTAATGTTCATCCTGTGCTTTTTTCCTAGTAGTTTTCATCCATTAAGGTTGCTATTCCACTCTCAGAGCCAAGGAGGTGAATCCCAGTACTCCGCAGAATGAGAGGAAGAATTGAACTACACACTGATGATCAAGCCAACTGAGCGAACCAACCACTGGCAAGACAATTGGTAGCTTAATTTTTATTACAAAGTATTGGGGCAGCACAATGGTTAGCACTACTGCCTCAGTGCCGGGTTCAAGTCCTGCCTCAGGCAACCATCTGTGTGATGTTTGCACATTCTCCCTGTGCCTAGGTGGGTTTCCTCTGGGTGCTCCAGGTTCCTCCCACAATCCAAAGATGTGCAGGTTAGGTGGACTGACTATGCTAAATTGCCCATGGTGTCCAGTGATGTGCGGGTTAGGTGGATTAGCTATGGTAGATGCAGGGTAACAGGAATGGGGTGGATCACGCTTTACGGTTGTGGATTCAATGGGCTGAATGGCCTGCTTCCACACTGTAGGGATTCTACAAGATTGAAGATGGCTTCCTGTGATTATACAGTAGTGAGACCAAATCTGAGGTGCTGTATGAAAATTTACACTTCTCACCGAAGGAGGGGCTGACTTGGGAAGTACAGGATAGGTTCAAGGGATAGATTTCTGGGATAGGAGTCTTGAGTCATAAAGAGACATTGAGTAAAACAGGCCCATTTCATAAAGTTTAGAAGCCTGAGATGCGGAGGAATTTCTTTCTTCAGACGGCATTAAACCTTTGGAATGCTCCACGCAAGAGGGCTCAAAGCTCAATCATTAGGCATATACAAGACAGAACATGACAGATTTCTGGAGACCACAGACATCAATGGATATGAAGATAGTACAGGGAAGTGGTGATCAATTGAAAATAAGCTATAATCTTACTGAAAAGTGAAACCGACTCGATGGGGTGAATGACCTAGTCCTGTCCTACATGGGAACATGCATATCAGAATAAGCGGTTGACAATTAAAGACTAAGGTGAGGAGTGATTTCTTCAGGCTAAGGGTTGTCAACCTGTGGATTGTCTCTTCCACAGTTCTGTAGCTACTCAATGATTGATAGATTTAAGGCTGATGTCAATAGGTTTTTGGGTCCAAATAGAATGAAGGGACATGTGGAGGGTGCAGCTGAGCTGTAAGTTCGGCCATGATCGTAGTTAATGACAAAGCAGGCTCAAAGGACTTAATGGACAACGCTTGATCTTGCTTCTGATGGTCATGAAACATCATTCTGGATCTGTCAAACTGCCAAGAGAGCGAATTCAATCTTTCCTGAAAAATCACCAAGATCCCACACTCCAAAGTCATGCCGCAAATATTGATTATTGTTGAAAAATTACAGTGATAGGTGGGCAGACAGTTTTTTTTTGTGGAGAGATGTAAATATAATGACAGTTATTCAGCAGTTCAGCTCTAATAAGGATAATTAATTCATAAACCAAGAAACAAAGATACCACAGGCCAGTGAATGATTCACTGTAAGATGCCACGTATTCATCACAGTGTGGAGAACGGTTTGAGGTGATCAATTGGTGAGTTTTTAATGAGTAAGTGTTCCTTTAATATAGTATTATTATTTATTCATGGAATGTGAGTATCACTGGCTGGGCTAGCAAGTATTACTCATCATAATTGCCCTGTGAGAAGATGGAGGTGAGTTGCCTTCCCTTCCAGAACTGTTGCATGTAGGGACACCCATAATGCTGTTAAGAAGGTAGATCCAGAATTTAGCCTCAGCAATGGTGAAGAAATGGCAAATACAGTTCCAAGTCAAGGACGTATGTGGCATGGAACAGGAACTTGCAGGTGGTGATTCCTTGTCTCTGCTGCCCTTCTCCTTCGAGATGGTCCAGGCTGTAGGTTTGGAAGGTGCTGTGAAACAAGCCTGAGTGAAATGCTGCAGTGCATTTTGTAATTGTCATATATTTATGCTACTGCAATGGTGGTGAGTTTGTGAATGTTGAACATACTGGATGAAATGGCAGGCCGCTTTGCCCTGATATTTGTCAAGCTTCTTGAATGTTGTTGGAACTACACTCTTCCAGACAAGTGGAATATATTCCACCACACTCCTGACTTGTGCCTCATTGATGGTGCACAGGATCTGGGGAGTCAGGAGATGAGTTAATCACTGCAGGATTCCTACACTTGATGTGCTTTTGTAACCACTGTATTTATATGTCTGGTCCATTCAGTTTCTGGTCAATAATAAGCACCAAGATGTTCATAGTGAGGGATTCAGCAATGGTAATGCCATTGAATGTAGAAAAACAATGATTGTGTTCATTTTTTGTTAGAGGTAGTCAATGCTTGACATTTGTGTGGTGAAAATGTTATTTCCCACATACCCATCCAAACCTGTGTGTTGTCTAAGTCTTGCTACATTTAGACACGGGCTGCTTCAGTTTCTGAGGAGTTGCAAATACTGCTGAACCATCACAATGATGTCCAACCATTAGTGAACATCCATCCCTTGAACCTTGTGATGCAGGAAAGGTCATTTGTGAAGCAGCTTAAAATAATTGGATGAAGACATTATATGACATGTTATCAGCTTTGAACAGCCCTTCTGTCAAATAGCTTATGATAGCAACATACAGAGCTTTCACAGCTTCATCCGACAGATACAGAATGGAGTCAATCCTGTTAATATACAGCTGCAAATCTAGACTGTGATTGGTCCATTGTTCATCTTCAGTTCAATACAGTTCTGAATTTAAATTTTAAAATGAGATTTGGAGAGAGAATGCTCTGCTGACGTAAGAATGAGAGATGTTGGGGTGTCATGCTAATTCTAAAGGGGCAACTGACATCAGAAATAAAGCCCCACTGTCAGAATGAAAATAGTTCAGTTCACAGGGCAGCAATAACAACAGAATCCAAACTTTGCTGTTACTAGTGAACTCGCTGGTGTCTCAGCAGGTTGGATGCTTGACTAAATCCCTTCCTATACGCAAGCAGATAAATGGCCTCTCCCCAATGTGTAAATGAAATCACAGTTCAGCAATAAAGGGGAGAGTAACTTCACAAAACAAGGAACAAAAGTGCTGCAGGCTAGTCAGTGAGTTACAATTAATTAGACTTTAAGAGGATTCCTTCGAAATCTGACAGGTTAACAGTTTTGAACAGCCTATCTATCAAATTGCCAACATTCAGAGCTTACACCAGCCTCATTCTCAAATTACAGAACAGATTCTCTCCTGTCAGTATTGAGCTACAGGACGACTGTGATCTGCTTATTATTCACTGACAGTTCAATATTTATCCTGGAGAATTTAAATGTCAAAATGATGTTTGAAGACATAATAGTCTATTCACACACAAATAAGAGATGTTGTGGGGCACCATTAGCTAATGAGATCAGAAACAAACCCTCACTGTCAGAATGAACACAGTTCAGTCTTTGATGTGATTAACAATCCAATCTCTGCTGTCACTGGTGAACTTGCTGATAAACAAGAGACTCCTATGTAAATGATCATTCCGCAGAAGTCAGCTGGTGTTTTGTGAGGTCCTGTGATTGCCTAAACTCAGCTCCATGGCGAGAGGACCAAACACTTTCGCATCAGTGAACATCCTGACAGGGCATTAGTTCATTTGACCTGTTAAAGCGCTGCCCACAGTGTTAACATTTACCAGGTCACTCTCCATGTTGTGAACCTGCTGGTGTCTCAGCAGGTGGGATGATCGAGTGAATCCCCTCCCGCACTCAGGGCAAGTGAATGGTCTCTCGCCAGTGTGAACTCGCTTGTGTAACACCAGGTTGGATGAGTGTGTGAATCTCTTTCCACACTCGGAGCAAGTGAATGGCTTCTCCCCGGTGTGAATTCGCTGGTGCTCACTGAGTTGAGATGATCCCCTGAACCCAGACCCGCAGTGAGAGCACCTGAACGGTCTTTCATCAGTGTGAACACGTTGATGGTAAATCAGTTCTGCAGAACTTTTAAAGCATTTCTCACAGTCTGGACATATAAAGGGTCTCTCCCCAGTGTGAACACGCTGATGTGTCAGCAAGTGGGTTGACCGAGTGAATCCCTTCCCACACTCAGAGCAGGAGAATGGCCTCTCCCCAGTGTGGATTCGCTGGTGTATGGCAAGGTCAGATGATCGCCTGAAGCCAGTCCCACAGTGAGGGCACCTGAATGGTCTCTCATCAGCGTGAACCCGTTGATGGTACACCAGTTCGTCGGATCTTTTAAAGCACTTCTCACAATCTGGGCATTTAAAAGGTCGCTCCCCAGTGTGAACCCGCTTGTGTGTTACTAGGTGGGATGATCGGGTGAATCCCTTCCCACACATGGAACAAATGAATGGTCTCTCTCCAGTGTGAACACGCTGGTGTGTCCGCAGGGTTGTTGAGCAAGTGAATCCCTTACCACAATTAGGACACATGAACGGCCTCTCCCCAGTGTGACTGCGCCGATGGGTTTCCAACGCAGATGGGGATCTGAATCCCTTCCCGCAATCCTCACATTTCCACAGTTTCTCCCTTTCTCCTTCCATGTTCAAAGGAGAAAGATAATCAGGCGGTGGTAGAATCCGTCAGATGTGAGGTGTGTTTTGATTTCCCCGTCTGCAAATTGTTCTGACTTGATATCCCTTATGGACAAAAACAAAATCCCTCACCGTAAGTTCATGACAAATTCAGAAGAGACAAACATTTCTCTTGGTCTGAATTTGCGCCCTGCTGCACATTGCCCCCCATAAACATGGCAGACGCGCAGCTCGCGGAACATTGCCCCCAATAATGGCGGCGACGGTAACCCGGGCCTATCACCGCCTGCAGCCGTCTTTCTGCTTGATGCAAACGCGGGGTCAAGAGTCTCTAATTCGGATCCGAAAGGCTACATCAGGTGTTTATATTTTTTTAAAAATCTCCAGTGTGTAATAGCTCTTTTTTGTCTCCCGTTTTCTGCTTGTGTCTCCCCCTTTATCGTTCCGTACACTTCTTGCCTCGGACAGACTGTCGTCGCAGCGTCAATACGCCTGCGCAGGAGCTCCGGGCCGCATTGTGGTCCCGCCTGTCATTCACTCCGATTGGTTCCTGCCCAGACGTCACCCTCCTGCTATTGGCCCGAAGCTGCTGTCAATCACCTTGCATTTACGGTGACGTGGAGGTGAGTGAGGGGAGTATCCTTGTCTGTTGCCCTGGGGTGGGCTTCATCGTTTAAGGTGAATGATGCAATATCATAGAGACTGGGGCGGGGGGAAACTGGTTGCCATTCACTCAATTGTGGCTGTCGTCTATCTCCCCGGAAATACTGCAAATCCGGCCCATTTCCCTTCTTCCTTGCCTATAGCCCTCCGAATCTTTCCTTATTGACTTCATTTCCAAACCACCTTTGAGAATGACTGCTGAATCTGTTTGCAGCAGCCATTCAGTTTGTTCCAGACTCGCTTTGTAAAATTATCTCCACATCTTTTACCCTGGATTATTTGCCAATTATTTGAAAGCTGCGTTTAGTGATTTCCAGCATTCTGTCGATGATTCTATTTATTGTTACTCTCTGTCTCTCCACATGAAATCTTCTAGAAATGAATGAACACTTCCAGTAAATCACTGCTTGTCTTTCTCAGCTCTGGAAAGAATTTATCTGAACTTCCACTATCTCACCACGCAACAGAAACCCCTCTCTTTGTTCTTCATTCACTGACCAATATTTATTGCCCGTCTGTGGTAGGTGGTAGTGTTGCCTTGATTCTGTTGCCTTTGTCCTCCCTGGTGGTAGAGTTTGTGGGTTTGAAAGATGCTGTTGAAGGAGATTTGGTGAGTTACTGCATCTTGTAGAAGGTACTTTTTGCTTTTTGGTGCTTAAAAGACAATGTTGAAGCTGGTGGATGGGATGTCAGTCAAACATGCTGTTTTGAACTGGATGGTGTTGAGTGTTGCATATATTCTGGCAAATATTTTCTGCACCATCTCAAACACTTTGTCACCTTTCCCGAAGTGTGAGAGTCAGAATTGAACACAGTGTTTCTGCTGAAGCTGAGGCAGTTAGAAGGATTCCAGCTAACTCTCTTGCTTCCATACTCCATACCTCCGTGAAGAAAGCTTTTTATGAACAGCTTTATCGCCAGTCATATTTTTAGATTTATGTCCACACACTTTCTGGTCACTCTGCCTAAAATTTATATCACTAAGTTTATTCTGTCTCATTTCATTCATTCTTCCAAAAGCCATCATTGACTGTGAATCATTTTGGGATGCTCGCAGTGCATGCAAAATTAAGAGACCAGCACACAAATAATAGATATATCAAATGACTTTGCAAATTGAGAATACATGGTTAGTGACACACGTCGTGGTGGCAGTGAAAAACTGGAAATTACAGATATAGAGAGTGACAAAGTTCATGGTGGGGGTGGGGGGTGGGGGGTGGAATATGGAAATTGCAGGTCCTGGAGAAAATTTGAAAAACATAGCAATCTTAAGACACGGTTTGACCAGAAGCTATTTAAGGTCTGGGGCCCAGGGCCTGATAATCTACATCCCAGAGTACTTAAGGAAGTGGCTGTAGAAATAGTGGATGCATTGGTGGTCATCTTCCAGGATTCTATAGACTCTGGAACAGTCCCTGCAGATTGGAGGGTAGATAATGTCACTCCAATGTTCAAAAAGGGAGGCAGAGAGAAAACTGGGAATTATAGACCAGTAAGCCTAACATTGATAATAGGGAAAATTCTCAAATCCATTATTAAGGACTTTAAAGCAGAGCATTTAGAAAGCAATGGCAGGATCAGGCAGTCAGCATGGATTTATGAAGAGGAAATCATGTTTGACAAATCTGTTGGAATTGTATGAAAATGTAACTAGTAGAGTTGATGAGGAGGAGCCAGTTGATGTGGTATATTTGGACTTTCAGAAAGTGTTTGACAAAGTCCTGTGAAAGAGATTATTCTGCAAGATTAAAGCACATTGGATTGGGGAAAGTGTATTGAGATAGAAAACCAGTTGGCAGAGAGGAAACAAAGAGTGGGAATTAATGGGTCCTTTTCAAATTGGCAGGCAGTAACTAGTGGGATGCCACAGGGATCGGAGCTGGGACCCCAGCTAGTCACAATATGTATTAATGATTTGGATGAAGGAACAAAATGTAACATGCCAAAGTTTGCAGATGATACCAAATTGGGTGGGAGGGTGAACTGTGATGAGGATGCAGAGATCCTTCAGCAAGATCTAGGACAGGGTGGGTGAGTGGGTATATCAATGACAGATGCAGTATAATTTGGATAAATGTGAGGTTATTCACTTCGGAAGCAAAAACAAGGTGTCGGATTACTACCTGAATGGCTATAAATTGGAAGAGGGGAGTGTTCAGGGACCTGGGTATCCTTGCGCACCGGTCACTGAAGGTAAGCATGCAGATGCAGTAGGCAGTAAAGAAGACAAATGGTATGTTGGCCTTCATTGCGAGAGGTTTCGAGTACAGGAGCAGGGTTGTGTTCTTGCAGTTGTACAGGGCCTTGGTGAGACCACACCTGGAATATTGCGTGCAGTTTTGGTCTCCTTTTCCGAGGAAGGATGCCCTTGCTCTTGAGGAAATGCAGCAAAGGTTTACCAGGTTGATTCTGGGAATGGCGGGACTGACATATAAGGAGAGATTGGCTAGGTTAGGATTGTTTTCGCTGAAGTTCAGACGAATGACTGGGGTTGGGTGGGATCTCAAAGAGACTTATAAAATTCTAACAGTACTAGACATGGTTGATGCAGAGAGGATGTTCTGAATGGTGGGTGTGTCAAGAACCAGGGGGTCACGGTCTGAGGATTTGGGGTAGACCATTTAGGACAGAGATAAGGAGACATTTTTCACCCAAACAGTGGTGAGCCTACGGAATTCATTACCACAGGAAGCAGTTGATGCCAAAACATTCAATGTATTCAAGAGGCGGCAGGGCGAGTGGGATCAAAGGTTAAGGGGAGACGGCAGGATTAGGCTATTGAGTTGGACAATCGGCCATAATCGTGATGAATGGCAAAGCAGGCTCAAAGGGGTGAATGGCATCCTCCTGCTCCTATCTTCTATGTTTCTATGAATATTAGGGTGATGAGAAAATGGGGCTTGATGTGAGAAGGCACACAGGCAGCACAGTTAATCTTCTTGACTTACAACTGGAATACATTTCTGGTCATCCAAGTACTGTACGTGGAATAAAAAGTTTGATAGTGTAGTGGAGGAATGGATAGGAATGCTGATGAGGTAGAGTTGGGCATTATCAGTGTACATGTGAAAACTAACACGGTGCTTTTGGATGCTGTCACCTAGTAGTGGCACGTAGATGAGAAATAGGAGGGACCAAGGATAGATCTTTGGGGGACACCGAGTACAAGGACTTTGGAGAGGAAAGGGAGGGTGGAGGTGGGGCAAATTAAAAAGACTCCGCACACACTGTGTTTGACACAAAGTTGATTTATTTGAGCTTTATGCTGATAGTAACCTCTAAAACTAGAGTGGAATTTATTAACATCAGCAGAAACAAACCACAATGAACATGGTTCAGTACCGGATGTGAACAACAGCAAAATTCAGTCACTGTGGTTGCTTGTGAACTCGCTGGTGTCTCAGCAGGTTGGACGAATTAATGAATCCCTTCCCACACTCAGAACACGTGAACGGCCTTTCCCCAGTGTGAGTACGCCGATGTATCACCAGGATGGATGAACGAGTGAATCCCTTTCCACACTCCAAGCAGGTGAACAGTCTCCCTCCGGAGTGAACTCGCTGGTGGGTCAGCAGATGGGATGACCGAGTGAATCTTGTCCCACATTCGGTGCATGTGAATGGCCTCTCCTCAGTGTGAATTCGCTGGTGGACAGTGAGTTGAGACGATCGCTTGAAGCCAGTCCCACAGTGAGAGCACCTGAATGGTCTCTCGTCAGTGTGGAGTCGTTGATGGCGCATCAGTTCCCCAGAACTTTTAAAGCATTTCCCACAGTCTGGGCACTTAAAAGGTCTCTCGTTAGTGTGAACGCGTTGGTGTGCGAGGAGATTTGTTAACTGAGAGCACGACTTCCCACAGTCGGAGCAGATGAACGGTCTCTCCCCAGTGTGAACTCGCTGGTGTGTCTGCAGGGCGGAGGACTGGGTGAAACCCTTCCCGCAGTCAGAACATGTAAACGGTCTCTCCCCAGTGTGAACTCGCTGGTGTGTCTTCAGGGTGGATAATTGAGAGAAACCTTTTCCACACTCAGAGCAGGTGAAAGGCCTCTCCCCTGTGTGACTGCGCTGATGAGTATCCAGCTCAGACGGGGATTTGAATCCCTTCCCGCAGTCTCCACATTTCCATGGTTTACCCCCGCTGTGGTCGCAGTCATTTTCTGACAGGCCAGGCGATTGGCTGAAACCTGGCCCCCACACGTAACACGAATCGGATTCCTCCCCGCACTGAACGGTGCTGATTCCTTCCATGTTTAAAATCCGATGGTCTTAAGGTTGCAACAAATTGGGTGACTTCATCAGGCCCTTATATGATTTGGGTTTGACTTTTCTCACCTCAAGTCCTCTCTTCAACGTCCTGTGAAACTGTTTTGAAACAGAAAGCTGACAGTGACAGAAAATCCACGAAAACACAAATGTTGGTTGTGAAACTCTGCTGAATGACTCTGGTACGCACCAGAACTCATGACCATGAAGGCTGCTGATTGTCAGAAAAACCAAACCGGTTCATCAGTGTCCTTCACAAAAGGGAACCTACAGCCCAGTTGGGACTTACACCAGACTCTTGCCCCTGTGGAAGAACAGGAAGATAGATGTGGGAATGGCAGAGGGATTTTATATATTTGCAACTTGACCAAACTTTGACAGAATCTCCCACTTCCCCAGCCTCCATGATCTAGAAGGACTAGGGCTGCACGTGTATGTGAACACCATCAGCTCCAAGACATCCGCCCATCCTGATTTGTCTGACATCCGGTTCTGTGTGAGTGGAAAGTTCCTCTGTTTAAATATTAGGAAGACTGAAGCCATTGTCTCAGTTTCCACTACAAACTTCTCTCCCTCGCCACCAACTCCAACCCTGGCCTTGGTAACTTTCTCAGGCTGAATAGACTGTAGACAACCAGGAAGAAATGTTTCACTGTAAGATGAGCTTCCAACCATATATCCCATCAACACCAAATCACACGGAACATGACTCCCCTCCCTTTCTCTGTAACCTCTTCCAGCCCCTGCTAGCTTCTGTATAAGTAATTACCTCCACCCTCGTCTCAGCTTATCTGATGAAACTTTTGTTTACATTGAGACTCAACTATCCTAACACACTCCCAGCCAGGCTTCCACGTTCAACCTCCCTATAATCTCGAGGTCATCCAAAACATGGCTGGCCACGTGTCAACTTGCACCAAGTTTTTTTTTATCCATCACCCCTGTGTTCAATTATATACTAAGGTTCATGTTTAACGAGCACCAACATTTTAGTCATAGAGTCATAAAGACGTGCAGCATGGAAACAGACCCCTCAGACCAACTTGTCCATGCCAACCAGATACCCTAAATTAATCTAGTCCCATTTGCCAGCATTTGGCCCATATCCCTCTAAATCCTTCCTATTCATGTATCCATCCAGGTGCCTTTTAAATGTTGTAATTGTATCAGCCTCCACCACTTCCTCTGGCAGCTTGTTCCATACACGCACCACCCTGTGTGTGAAAAAGTTGTCCCTTAGGTCCCTTTTAAATCTTTCCCCTCTCACCTTAAACCTGTCCCCTCTACTTTTGGGCTCTCCTACCCTGGGGAAAATACCTTAACTATTCACCCTATCCATGACCCTCATGATTTTATAAACCTCCATAAGGTCACACCTCAGCCTCCGACACTCCATGGAAATTAGCACCAGCCTATTCAACCTCTCCCTATAGCTCAGACACTCCAACCCTAGTTATATACTTGAAAATCTTTTCTGAAACCTTTTAGGTTTCACAACATTCTTCTTATAGCAAGGAGACCAGAATTGAATGCAGTATTCCAAAAGTGGTCTAACCAATGTCCTGTACAGCTGCAATATGACCTTGCAACTCCTACACTCAATGCTCTGACAAATAAAGGCAAGCGTACCAAATGCCTTCTTCACTACCCTACCTGCAACTCCATTTTCAAGGAACGATGAACCTGCACTCCAAGGTCCCTTTGTTCAGCAACATTCCCCAGGACCTTACCATTGAATGTATAAGTCCTGCCCTGATTTGCCCTACCAAAATGTAGCACCTCACATTTATCTTGATTAAAGTCCATCTGCCACTCCTCAGCCCATCTGATCAAGTTCCGCTGTACTCTGAGGCAATCTTCTTTGCTGTGTGCTCTACCGGTAATTTTGGTGTCATCTGCAAATTTACTTAGTATACCTACTACATTCACATCTAACTCATTTATATAGAAGTCAAAAAGCAGTCCACCCAGCACTGGTAACTCTGCGGCATACCACTTGTCACAGGTCTCCAGTCCGAAAAGCATTGCTCCACCACCACCCTCTGTCTCTACCTTCTAGCCAGTTTTGTCACCAAATGGCTAGTTCTCCCTGTATTCCATGTGCTTTAACCTTGTTACCCAGTCTACCATGCGGAATCTTGTCGAACGCCTGACTGAAGTCCACAAAGAGAATGTCCACTGCACTGCCTTCATCAGTCCTCTTCGTCACTTCTTCAAAAAACTCAATCAGGTTAGTGAGAAACCATTTCCCATGCACAAAGCCAAGTTGACTATCCCTAATCAGTCCTTGCCTGTCCAAATCCATGTAAATCCTGTCCCTCAGAATGCCCTCCAACAACTTGCCCACCACTGATATCAGGCTCACTGGTCTGTAGTTCCCTGGCTTTTCCTTCCCATGGTTCTTAAATAATGGCACCATGTCAGCCAACCCCCAGTCTGCCAGCACCTCACCTGTGGTTATCGATGATACAAGTATCTCAGCAAGGGGCCCAGCAATCACTTCCCTAGCTTCCCACAGAGTTCTAGGGTACACCTGATCAAATCCCGGGGATTTATTCACCTCTATGCGCTTGAAGACGTCCAGCACCTCCTCATCTATAATATGGACATTTTTCAAGATGTCGCTATTTATTTCCCCAAGTTCTCTATCTTCCATACTCTTCTCTATAGTAAACATTGATGCAAAATACTCATTTAGTATCTGCCACATCTCCTGCAGTTCCACACATACGCAGCCTTGCTGATTTTAAGGGGCCCTATTCTCTCCCCAATTACTCTTTTCTCCTTAATGTATTTGTAGAAACTCTTTGGATTCTCCTTAGCACTATTTGCCAAGACTCTCATGTCCTCTTTTTGCCCTCCTGATTTCCCTCTTAAGTATACTTCTACTGCCTTTATACTCCTCTAGGGATTCACTTGGTTCCTGCTGTCTATACCTGACATACGCTTCCTTCTTTTTCTTGACCAAAATCTTAATTTCTCTAGTCATCCAACATTCCCTACATCTACCAGCCTTGCCCTTCACCCTAACAGGGATATTCTGTCTCTGGACTCTTGTTATCTCCATTCTGAAGGCTTCCCATTTTCCAGCCATCCCTTTACCTGAGAATATCCACCCCCAGTCAACATTTGAAAGTTCTTGTTGAATATGGTCAAAATTGGCCTTCCTCCAATTTAGATCTCTGACTTTTACATCAGATCTATTCTTTTCCATAACCATTTAAAACTAATAGAATTATGATCACTAGTCCCAAAGTGCTCCCGCGCTGATACCTCGGTCACTTGCCCTGTCTTACTTCCCAAGAGCAGGTCAAGTTTTGCTCTTTCTCTAGTAGGTAGATCCACATACTGAATCCGAAAATTTTTTTGTACACACTTAACAAATTCCTCTCCACTTGATCCCTTAACGCTATGGCAGTCCCAGTCTGTGTTTGGAAAGTTAAAATCCCCTACCATAACCACCCTATTATTCTTACAGATAACTGAGATCTCCTTACAAATTTGCTTCTCAATTTCCTGCTGACAATTGGGAGAGGGGGGCGGTGGTTCTATTGTACAATCCCAATAAAGTGATCATCCCTTTCTTATTTTTCAGTTCCACCCAAATAACTTCTCTGGAATATCCTCCCTAAGTACAGCCATAATGTTATTCCTAATCAAAAATGCCCTCCCCTCTTGCCCCCCCTTTCTATCCTTCCTGTAGCATCTATACCCTGGAACATTAAGCTGCCAGCCCTATCCATCCCTAAGCCATATCTCTGTAACAGCTATGATATCCCAGTCCCATGTTCCCAGCCATGTCCTGACCTAACAGGCTTACCTGTTAGGCCTTTTGCATCAAAATAAATGCATTTTAATTTATCAGTCCTATCTCATTCTCTACTTTGTTCCTGCCTGCCCTAACTGTTTGACTTACTCCTTTTCTCAACTGCACCAGCCTCAGACTGATCTCTTTTCTCACTATCTCTCTAAATCCCCGCCCACCCAACTCGTTTAAATCTTCCCAAGCAGCTCGAGCAAATCTCCCCACCAGTATATTAGGCCCCTTCCAATTCAGGTGCAACCTGTCCTTCTTATACAGGTCACTTCTACCCCAGAAGAGATTCCAATGATCCAAAAAAATATATATCCTTCTCCCCTGCATCAGCTCCTCAGCCATGTATTCATCTGCTCTATCCTCCCATTCCTACCCTCACTAGCACATGGCACCGGGCATAATCCAGATATTACTACACTCGAGGGCCTACTTTTTAATATCCTGCCTAACTTCCTATATTCTGTCCTCAGAACCTTGCCCTTTTCTCTTCCCACTCCATTGGTCCCCATGTGTACAATGACCTCCTGCTGGTCCTTCTCCCCTTTGAAAATATTCTGCACCCTCTCCGAGACATCCTTGACTATGGCACCTGGGAGGCAACACACTATTCTGAGATCCCGTTGCCGGCCACAGAACTGTCTGTCTGTACCTCTGACTAGAGAGTCTCCTATCAAAATCAATCTCTTGGAACCTTCCCCTCGTTACATTAGAGCCAATCTCAGAAACCTGGCTGTCAGTTCTACATTCCCCTGAGAGTCCATCACCCCCTACGTTTTCCAAAACAGCACACTTGTTTGAGATGGAGAGAGCCATAGGAGACTCCTGCACTACCTGCCTATTCCTCCTACCTTTCCTAGATGTAACCCATCTACCTGACTGTATCTGCGGTTTTTCTACCTTCTGAAACTGCCAGTTATGACATTCCCTGGCTCCTGTACATTCTTCATTGCCTGTAACTGCCCCTCCAAACTATCCATGCGGGTAATCAAACATCAGTGAAACAGAGGGATGACATCAGCTGCAGAGTGATGAAACCTCTCACAGATAAAAGCACAGCATTAAAAGCTCTAACTTGTCAATGAATGGTCACAAATACTCACCTTTGAAACAGTTATTTTATTTTGAAAATCCCCTATTGGAGCCTGCAGCTAGAAAGCTATCAGAAGAAGTGAAGTCAGAGAAAAAAATCTCAGAGTTCAGGAATTATCCAAGGAGTAGGTGATGTTACTGCACATCCTCTTCAAATGTCCTGCAAGAAGTTTACAAAATCAAGCAGTAAGTCAGAGATCGACATTCAGAAGAGACAAGCATTTCACTTGGTCTGCGTTTGAATTGTGTAAATCCTCCTCTTCTAACGCCCAGGAAAAGGGATTTCAAAACTCTATCCCAGTCAATATAGGATACAAATTCACAACATCCCCTCCTCCTTGCCAAGGTTGACCACATGGTCCATGCTGCACACGTAGTGGTCAGCAGTCTCTCGATTCAAGGCTGACATCGACACAGGTGGAGTTTCTGTCCTGGGTCTTCATATGACTGAATACAGCCAAGGATCTTTGGGCAAGACATCTCATGGAATCCAGAAGCAGGATCTTCTTTTTTTTCTCTCTCTATGTGCCACCGCTCTGCCTCATCAATAAGACATTGGGTGTGAAAGGCTAACGCAACTTGATGGACAAGTTGTGTCCATTCTGAACAATGGGCAACAATTTCAGCCCCGTCTGTGCAAACAATGCCCCCTACAGAGACGGCGGCCCCGCTGCCAGTGCCCCCAATAAAGATGGCGGCCGTCAGGCCGGGGCCTGTCACTGGGAACAAGCCTGGAAACGTTGTCCCAGTCGGAACAAACGGGGGACCGGGAGATTCTTATTCGGGGTTTGTAGCTCACATACGATCTTTAAGAATCCTGTCCGTCCATCCGCCGTATCTATCACCACTCTCTTCCGCGCCTCATTTAATTACGTTTTCGGAGCCAAGAAATGAAACTCAGTCCGCAACCATTGAGCACTCCGAGCACGCTCAATTCACGAACGATGTCTGCGCCTGCGCACTGCTCTCCAGTTGTTGGGACAAGGGTGGGTTACGTCATTCGGAATGTTGGGCAGGAAAACTACCACGGCCTGTCCTACTCATTGCATTGGGATTTGTTCCTTGTTGTTGTGGAGACAGCGGCCCAAAAATTGTACTGATAACTATTTGAGACAGAGTCTGGTGTAATTGAGTAGCACATCTTCTGTGTTGAGAATTTTGGAAATCTTTACAGTACAGAGTCCACTTCAGCCCATCCAGTTTATGACGGTTCTCGACACGAGCACTTCGTGCTGTTCTTCTACTTCCCACCAGAGCTCTAGACATTTGTTTCTCTTTCAAACAACCATCTAATCCGTTTTTGAATGCCTCAATTTTACCTGCCTCCACCTGTCGTAACCTTAAGCTGTACATTCAAGGTGCTAAACACTTGCTGAGTGAAAATTCCTGATTACTCTTGTTTCTTCTACAAACAACTTTAAATCTGTGTGCTTTCACTCACGTTTAATTGAGTTTTTTGAACAGGTGACCAAGAAGATAGATGAAGGCCGAGCTGTGGAAGTTGACAAGATGGGCTTTAGCCAGGCCTTTGACAAGGCTCTGCAGGGTAGACTGGTTAGTAAGGTTAGATCATATAGGATCCAGGGAGAGCTAGGCAATTGGATACACAATTGGCTTGACAGTAGGAGACAGAGAGGGTGGGTGGCAGAGGGTTGTTGCCTAGACTGGAGGCCTGTGACCAGTGGTGTACCGCAAGGATCAGTGCTAAGTCTCCTGTTGTTTGCCATTTATATGAACAATTTGGATGAGAATATGGGAGGTATGGTTAGTAAGTTTGTGACTGGCACCAAAATTGTTAATATAGTGGACAGTAAAGAAGGTTATTTAAGAGTGATCAAGTAGGCCACTGGACCGAGGAATGGCCGATGGAGTTTCATTTAGGTAAATGCAAGGTGTTGCATTTTAATAAGACAAATTAGGGCAGCACTTACACCATTAATGGTTGGGCCATGGGGAGTGTTGTCGAACACAGAGACCTAAGGTTGCAGGTACATAGTTCCTTGAAAATGATAGACTGGATGGTGATGAATGAATTGGCACGCTTGCATTCGTTGGTTAGAGCATTGAGTTTAGGAGATGGGATGTCATGTTATGGCTGTACAAGACATTGGTAAGGCCACATATGGAGTACTGCATATAATTTTGATCGCCCTGCTATAGGAAGGATGTTATTAAACCGAAAGGGTGCAAAAAAGACTTACAAGGACATTACCAAGTCTGGAGGGTTATACAGAGAGGCTGAATAGGCTGGGACTTTTTTCTCTGGACCGTAGGAGGCTGAAGGATGATCTTGTAGAGGTTTATAAAATCATGAGGGGCATAGATAAGGTGGATAGACATGGTGTTTTCCACGGGGTAGGGGAGTCCAAAACTAGATGGCATAGGTTTAAGGTGAGAGGGGAAAGAATGAAAAGGGATCTATGGGGCAACTTTTTCACAGTAGTTGTGTATATGGTGTATATATGGAATGAGCTGCCAGAGGAAATGGTACAGCCAAATCCAGTTACAATAATTAAAACTTATTTGGACAGATACATGAATAGGAAAGGTTTAGAGGGCAAATTCAGTTTAGGAAACCTGGTCGGGTAGACCTTTTGGGCCGAATGGTCTGCTTCTGTACTGTATAACTCTACGACTCTCAATCCTGTCATGAATGGGAACAGTTTCCCCGATTTACTCTGTGTTATTACCTCTCTTTATTTTGAATCCTAAAATCAGAACATCCATCACTTCTCCAATGAAAAGAGTCAAACTTATCTTCACAACTGAAATTCTTAATCCCTGAAATATAGAACATAGAACAGTACAGCACAGGAACAGGCCCTTTGACCCATGAGTAAAATAAACCCAAAAGAACTGCGGATGCTGGAAATCAGACACAAAAACAGAAATTGCTGACTCAGTGGTTAATACTGTTGCCTCACAGTGCCAGAGACCTGGATTCGATTCCAGCCTTGGGTGATTGTATGTGTAGAGTTGTACATTCTCCTGTGGCTGCATGGGATTTCTCCAGATGCTCTGCTTTCCTCCCACAATCCAAAGATGCGCAGGTTAGGTGGATTGGCCATGCTAAATTGTCCAGGAATGTGCAGCCTAGATGGATTAGCCATGGGAAATGCAGGGTTACAGGGATAGGATAGTAGGATGGGAGTCAGGGTGGGATGCTCTTTGGAGAGTCAGTGTGGATTCGATGGGCCAAATGGCCTTCTTCCACACCATAGAGATTCTATGAACTCAGTAGGTCTGGCAGCATCTGTGGAGAGAAAGCAGAGTTAATGTTGTGGGTCCAGTTACTCTTCACAACTGATGGTAGCTGAGAAAAGGTTGGTATTTATTCAGAAGATGGGGCAAGAGGAGTAAACAATAGGCAGAAATAGAGCCCAAAGAGAGAGAATAACAGTTGGACAGAAAAAGGACTGGGTAAATATCAGCCTGGGAGAATGAACAGCTGCTAATTGGGACCGATAGTGGGTAACAACAGGTTTTGTGTGGTAGGAGCCCATGTGATGACAAATGCCTGGTGTGTGGGGAAAAGCAATGGGGGAAGGTGCTCAAGCCCGAAAATCATTGATATTAAGTCCAGAAGGCTGCAGAGTTCCCAAGTGGAAAATGTGGGAAACTCTGGGATATTTTGTAGGCAAACAAAAGCGGTCAGCAAGTCTCAACTTTGTACATTGTGGAAATGAAGCTTTAAGTTCACTGAGGTTTACGCTGATACAGACGTTACTAAAATAGGAATTCTTGAGAAAATTGGTTAAAACATATGACACAATGACTGGGGAGCCTGAAGCTCTAGCAGTAGTAAACCAGCTGCAAGATTTAGCATCTGACCCCTTAAACAGGTCAGCAATGGTTCAGAATCAGGGATTAATCCTGTTTCTGGAACATTCAACTCCTCAAGTTGGTTACTGTGCACTATTGGTAAGTGTTAACTTTTCTGCTCAATGTTTTCGAAATTGCTTATTGATACAAGTTCAGCATCTACCCAAAGATCTTCTGTCTATCACTGTGTATGTATATGTTTATACTTGATTTACACATTTTGTTAATTAAGAGCTTTACAAAGACAAGTGGGGAAAAATCAAATGGGATTTCTGGGTTTTGTTACTTTGCATTATTCTGAAATGAGTCACAAGCTAATAACTGGGTTATCTGTTAGTTTCAGTAAATAGCAGCTCACTCTTCTGTTTTGCAATTCCTGCAAAAATTTGCAATTGTAACAATTACTGAACTTGAATATTTTCTAGATGAGAGACATGTTACCGAAGCATTTCATCTTACACTCATCAGGCCAAATGCAAGTACGCCAAATTTTAAGCAATGACAACAATTTGTGCTGGAGAAAAGAGTTCTGATTATTTGGCAAGTCAACTCTGGCTGTGGCATTGCCATGGAAAAGGCAACTGGGAACCAAATGCTTCCTAAGCTCCAGGTTACATAAAAAGCACAAGGTTTGAACATATTCCTTTTTGCAAGGAATGAGCCCCTGCATATTTATAAATGAACCATGTTCCTTTAATTGGTGGTCAGTGCAGAATTGGCACAGTCAGTAGCGTTCAGCAGTACAGGCTGTACTCAAACAGCCCATGCTTGCAAATCTAAAAACAAAAGATATGATTTTGTAGTTGATAAGTCGTTAACTGTCTGCTCTGAGGAGAATAATTGCAACTTCTCTAGTTTCTTGACATAACTGAAGTCCCTCAACTTTGTTAGAATTCTAGCAAATCTTCCCTGCATCTTCTCCAAAGCATCTTATCCTTTCTAAAGAGTGATGTGCAGAATTAAACACAATTTATTGGAAGCCTAACCCAGTGTTTGTTCATAAATGTTTGCCTTAACCTCCTTGCTTAGTCTTTGTCTGTATTTGTAAAGTCAAATTAATTGTTTTTTTCTAACAGCCTGGTCAACTTCTGGCATTTTTATTGATTTGTGTATTCTCAGATATGAATCAGTGAAACTTAGCAAAGTAAACAGCAAACAATTTAGAGGGGGTTGTCCTACAAAGAGAGATTGAACAGAAGAGCCCTATACTCTAGAGTTTTAAAGAATGACAGGTGATCTCATTGAAATATAACCTTTTAAAAGGGTTTGGTCTGGTATTGTACTGAGTGGCTGTTTCCTCTGCCTGCAGCATTTCAGATGAAAAATCATACCTCGGGACAAGAGGTCAGCCATTTTGGACTGCGATAGGAAGGATTGAAAGCTTTGCAGCTTTAAATTACAGAACTTCTAGGATTGCCTGGCAGAAAGAGTTTGCTGGAAATTAATTGCATTTTACTTGACACAGAGGAAATATTCAAAATCATATCATAGTCATACCTGTGTACCTATTACTAACCAGCTTATGATACTAATGACAGGAATAGAATGGCACTGTATCTTGTTGAGCAAAGACTATTAAGAGAAACGATGTATGAGTGCTGGTAAGCAGCATCTGTATTGGCTGTGGGACGTGCTGGCTGCTACTTCCATGTTCGGTTGAGCAGGAAAAGGCACAGCACGAACATAGTATGGCTATGATTAAGATTAAAATATTTTGATGTAATGAAACAGAATGGCAGAGTGGTTTTGCTTGACACAGACCCATGACCTAAAACATGCCAAAGAAATCTGCTTGTTCCAGTACCAGGTACCGACAGAATACTTTATACTTTTGAAACTTTGTGCTTTACAAAGTAAGGTGTTAATTCTCTTGAATATTAGTGAAGAAGCAAGTACTTCCTTTATTTCCCTTTACTTCTCAGCCACAACCACCACTACCTGTTCTCACCCTACAATTCTAAAGAAAGGTCTCAGTAGTTCTGACAGCCTTGAATGCATATAAATTTAGGAATCCCAGTCCAAAATTAGACAGTTAATGATGAATTCATATGCAGAAAAATGAGACACATTTGTAGGAACATGGTTATATTGGCAATCTTTTTACATTGAATTCTGTAGAAACAATTTAATCTCATTTTTCTCAGAGTGGTTCATCCAAACATGGATGAACAGTAACATGCAGAAGTGATGCCCTGTATTGGGGCTGAGGAAAGTAAAATAGAACACAATAAATCCACAAACCACTGATGAAAAGATGCATGCAAATTCCCAATCAATATCAGGACAAGTAATGGACAAAAGTGAGGCAAAACTGAATGATGGCAGATAGACCTCATACATATTGATGGAAACATTCTATTCTATAAAATGCAGTGAATTGCTTTTCATCAGCAAAATGGTTAGCAATTCTGACAATGTGAAATATTTCACCATTCAGACCTTTGAGTATAGGAGTTGGGAGCATCATGTTGAGGTTGTACAGGATGTTGGTGAGGCCTTTTCTGGAATACTGCACAGTGGAGGGTTTCAGTATAAGGAGAGGCTGGATAGACTGGGACTCTTTTCATTGCAGCCTAGGAGGTGGAAGGGTGACCTTATAGAGGTTTATAAAATCACGAGGGGCATAGATAATTTTAATGCCAATGTTCAAGAGCCTCCCTCACATTGTACTATTGATTGTTTGTCATATTCTTTAATTTTGTTTAATGATTCTTACCTTTGTGCATAATTGACCTCAATAACAGAGCAATGAACTGTTCAATATGTTCCCTTAATCTGATTCTGAACACAGGTCTTCATATCATTTGGAAATGATATGAACAGCAAGGGTATTTTCCCTAGGTGTGGGGAGTTCAAAACCGGGGGCATATTTTTAAGGTGAGAGGAGAAAGTTTTAAAAAGGACATGTGAGGCAACTTTTTAACACAGAGAGCGATTCGTGTGTGGAATGAACTGCCAGAGGAAGTGGTGGATGCAGGTACAGTTACAACATTTAAAAGCCATTTTGGATAAGTAAATAAACAGGAAAGGTTTGGAGGGATATGGGCTAAATGCAGGCAAGTGGACCAGTTTAGTTTGGGAACATGGTTGGCATGAACTAGTTGGGCTGAGGGGTCTGTTGCCATGCTCTGTAAGAATTAGGAGCAGGAGCAGGCAAATTCAGCTTCTTAAGCCTGTTCTGCCATTTAATACAATCATGACTGATCTCATCTCAGCCTCAACTCTACTTTCCTGACTGCTCCCAATAACCTGTCAACACATTATAAATTAAAAATCTGTCTCTCTCCTCCTTAAATTTATCCAGTGTGCTGGCATGCACCGCACTCTGGGGTACTGAATTCCACAAATTCACAACCCTTTGAGAGAAGTAATTCATCCTGTTCTCTATTTTAAATTTGCCACGCCTTAGTCTAAAATGATGACCTCTCATTCTGGATTAGACATGTTGTTGCAAAGTGATTTTATGTTAAGAGATTAATCAAAAAACACTTTGTATAAATCCAAAGTTAGAATCTACAGACATGAAATGTCTGCAAATAATGTTTTTAAATCAGATTGTAATAAAACTTAGAAAGAAAAACATTTACAAATGATATGAAGACCTGTGTTCAGAATCAGATTAAGGAAACATATTGAACAGTTCATTGCTCTGTTATTGAGGTCAATTATGCACAAAGGTAAGAATCATTAAACAAAATTAAAGAATACGACAAACAATCAAATTACTCAATAGTACAATGTGAGGGAGGGTCTTGAACATTGGCATTAAAAATCCCATCTCCACTGACCCTGTGAGCCAGAATTATCCAGAAGGAGTGCGCATTCCTGGATCTGATCAATCTTTTGTCAGATATGATGAGTATGTTCATGACTGCTTTAGGGTTATCTTGTTAAAATTAACCTAGTGTACGAAAGGAAGAGCAAATTATTTTAACTTTGGATAGATACTAAAAAGTGGTCGTTTGGTCATGCAAAACTTGAGTTTTGCTTAAAAAAAGCTTTTCATCTGTCACTCAGCAGCACAATATACTGCATGGCAACACCTCTAATAATTGGAATCCACTCAACAACCAATCAGCACTCTCCTCCCATGATCTATAAATGTTGCTTTTTCCTTTGAATTGGTATTCTTGTGAATCGTCCTGATGAGTGTAAGATGAAAAGCTTTGACAAAGTGTGTATTTTTCCAGCAACATTCTGAAATTACAGTTTGTGTGGATATATGACGATTAAACATTTGGGCTTTACTAACTTTGTCTCATAGCTTCAAAATTCTAAAACTCCGTACTAATTTATATTTCTCCTCAACTATTTGAATTCACTAGCTGGACAATGTTGCCTTCCCTTTGGCTAAGCTTACCTGAGACTTAAAAATAATTTCTAGTTAAATTGGATGAATCCCACTCCACATTTCAAGCGACTGAACTGCTTCTCTCCAGTGTGAACATGCTGGTATACAATGAGGTCAGATGAACATGCAACAAACCTGTGTTAGACATACTAAACACACATGAGTCGCTGTGTATCTGACATAAATCCAGTTTATTTGAGTTTTCCTCAGAATGTTAACACATCTAGCTGGGCTGGAGTTTATCAACATTAGTCAAAAGAGACCCCAATGAACTTGATTCAATCCTGGAAGAGATCTATAACAGAATCTAATCATTGTCATTCATTGTAAACTCTCAGCAGGTTGACAGAGTGAGACAATACAATCACTGTAGTTACCGCTTGCTTATTCATGTTGGTGTCTCTGGATGGGTCAGCATTTATTGCCTATCCCGGTTGCCCCTTGAGAGGGTGGTGGTGAGCTGCTTTCTTGAATCATTGCAATCCATGTGCTGTGGGTCGGTAGTTAATGCTGACAGGGAAGGAATTCTAGGATTTTGACCCATGAACACTGAAGGAACTGTGATGTATTTCCAAGTCAAGATGGTGATTGGCTTAATGAGGAACTTGCAGGGGGTTAGTTTTCCCATGTATCTGCTGCACTTGTCCTTCTAGTGATCCTGGATTGGAAGGAGCTCTCTAAGAAGCCATGCTGAATTTCTGTGGTGGATGGAGTGATGGATTGTGGACCTGGTGTCAATCAAGCGGGCTGCTTTGTCCTAGACAGTGTCAAGTTTCTCGAGTGTTGTCAGAGCTGCACTCATCCAGGCTAGTGGGGAGTATTCCATCATGCTCCTGACTTGTGCCTTGTAAATGGCGGATGTTTACAATGGGGGAGTCAGGAGTTGAGTTATTTGTTGCAGGATTCCTAGCCTCTGACCTGGTCTTGTAGCCAGAGCATTCGTATGCACAGTCCAGTTCATTTTCAGGTCAACAGTAATGCTCAGGATGTTGACAGTGAAGGGTTCCAGAGAAGGTAATGCCATTAAATGGTAAAGTGCAATGATTAGATTCTCCCTTGTCAGAGATGGTCATTGCCTAGCCTCGACCTGTTTTGTTTCCTCTCCACCTATCCTCTCCTCTGTCCCTCTTCTATCCGCCTCCCACTCTCTCCCTATTTATTTCAAAACCCCCTTCCCCTCCCCCTTTTCTGATGAAGGATCTTGGCCCGAAACGTCAGCCTCTCTGCTCCTATGATGCTGCTTGGCCTGCTGTGTTCATCCAGCCCTGCACCTTGTTGTCTCGGATTCTCCAGCATCTGCAGTTCCTACTATCTCTGATTGCCTAGCCTCTGTTTGGTGTGAAAATTACTTGTCACTTTTTAACCCCCAGCATGGATACTGTGCACATCTCACTGCATTTGGACATGAACTGTCTCAGAGTCTGCTTCAGCTTAGTGACAAAGAAGCTCTGTGAGCTCCTCGCACTTGTTGCTAGAGGTGAAGATGGAGGAAGGAGGCAGAAGGAGACAGCTCTTCAAAATGGACCAAACTGTGAGGACATTAGGAAGACTCAACACTTTTTTTTTCACAAAGCTGATTATCCAGAATATTAACCCCTATCACTGAGCTGGAGTTTAGAATGAGATCGCTGCATAGTGGACTAATAATCCAGATATTAATGCTCAGGGAACACTGTGTCAAACATACCACAGCATTTAAATAAAGTCCGGAATTGAAAGCTAGTCTCCATGGTCATGCCATGAAACTACCATTGATTGTTGGAACAGCAGGTCTGGTTCAGCAATATCCTTGAGAGAAGGATATCTGTCATCCTTACCTGGTCTGCACGACAAGTGACTTCAGATTCACAGTTACATGGTTAACTCCCAACTGCCCTTTGAAATAGCCCAATAAATCACTCTTTTGGGCAATAAATAATGTCTACAAAAGAAGGAAGAATAAAAAAAGTGTTTTAATATTAACATCAGCTGAAATAGATTCCAATGAACCCAGTTCAGTCCTGGATGAGATCAACTGCAAAATCCCATCACAGTAGTTACTTTTGTGAACTCGCTGATTTTGCAGCAAATTGGATGACTGAGTAAATCCCTTCCCACATTCAAAGCAGGTAAAGGGCCTCTACCCATATGAATTCGCTGGTGCTCAATGAGGTGAGATGATCACCTGAACAGTCTCTCATCAGTGCAAGTACTTTGATAGGACATCAGTTCCTAGGAACTTTTAAAAGCACTTTCCACAGTCTGGACATTTAATTGGTTTCTCCCTGGTGTCAACCCGTTGATATAGCATCAGGTGGGATGACTGAGTGAATCTCTTTCCACACGTGGAGCAGGTGAATGGTCTTTCCTCAGTTTGAACCCATTGGTGTGACACCAG